ATTTTGATTTCTTTATAAAAGAAGGAATTACTCCGTATGCATGGGAATTTTATACGGCATTTACCATATGATTAGATTTAAATAACTCTACAAATACTGATGGAGTAAGAATTTAAATATCCAACTGTCAAAATCCTTTTGCCTCTATAAAGTAAGCTTTCAACGTTTACATTTGTTATTTCCCCTATCGCTGATCAGACGTTGGTTTCTCTTGGCTCAGGGATGCTCAATACCAAATTAATAAACCAATACCTGTAAACAAAAGATGTAGGATTTTAAAAGTTTACTTGTATTTCCCCAATTGGACTTTGGCCCTCTGTCCCCAAAGGGCCACACCATTAATTACGCAAATTGGGCCCCTTTGGTCCAAGGATGCTTTAGTCCAAAAGTCCATTTACCAGTACCAAATTAAGGCATAACATTTTAAAAGTTCACCTCTATTTGACTCTGTCCCTCTACACCAGGCAGCCACACACTTTCTTCACAAAATGTTGAGTTCAAAGATGCTCCAGACCAAATTTGGTTCAAATCACTTTCTGATTTACATTTATTTCCCCTATCGGACTCTGACTCTCGGCTGACTAGGAAGGGACATCCTCTGTTTAAACAACATGAAGTTCTCTTTGGCCCAAAACAAACTCCAGTCAAGATTCCTTCAGCTGTTCAGGACAAGGATTTTTTTAAAAGGAAAAGTTAACGCTGGAGGGACACTTGATGCTTTGCCACACATTCATGCCAGGTGAACTTAAAATAGACAATGGGGCTATGATAAAATTATTTCTAAAATCTCACAATGTAGATATTAACAGGAAACAGACCATTTTTTTTTACTTTGCCTTTACATGCGATCTCCTTAATACTAGTACTTAAGTATACTCACGTAAAACAAAAGTCATGCAGAGTTTCCATTCTACATATAATGTCCATCAAAGGACCAGTTTCATGCCGGTGAGAATTAGGCGGTTTTAGCACCGGGATGACTGGTATGTAAGACTAATTATATACGTATGGATATTACATTTATATAGTACCTCTCTCAGATATTGCCTTATCCGACCAAATGAGTTTTGAAATAAGTCTCGTTTCGTACACGGAGTATATATACCTATTGTAAGTACTTTAGTCCATGGAATGACGGTTGATTACTCTATCTTTGAAACTTCCAATGTGCAATACCGGTTCTTAGTGAACTTATTCCTTCCCACCCATATTAAACCTAGTGACCACCACTTTTCATCCGCTTATCCAAAATAATTCAATTTTGAAATTTTATATCCGATTGTTCGCAATATTTAATTTCGAATATCTTTCTTTCTCTCTCATAAAATCCAAAATATGCAAGTATCATACAAATTCTTCTGAAATATAATCAAATGTATGTTTCATTATGTTCAAAAATTGTTCAGCAACAAAATTCAGTTTAACTCTAAAAAAATGAAATAATTGTTTTTTTTCTTTCTTTTATTGTCCAAAGAAATTGCCTGCTTCCATCCACCACTGCTCTTTATTACTTGTATTTGAAATGTTCATGTCTCATTCCTGTATCAATAGATATCGGTCTGTTTGAGGTTTTACATATTGAGGTTTCTAATTCACCTCTGAGAATTGGTTTTCCTCAATTTTAGTTAGAAGAGACTTAGTAGAGAAGTCATACTCTGGATAGCCAAATGATGACGATGACGGTGTGATTTACAATCATATGACGTCATGTTAAGCTGCACACGAAGAAATATTTCACCCCAGAATACATGAGGTATTAAGACTGGGTGTAATAATTAACCCCTCAGTCTCATTACCCCATCTACTAAGGCTACAGGCATATAGTATATGATAGTACATGTACAGGCATCGTATAAGATAAAAGCATTGGGCTTGCAATTTTTTTAGACTTCACTATTTAGCACAGATATTTAAATTCTATTCATGAAAGTAAGTAAAACAACATTATAAATTATAATCTTGTTGACTACTACTAGTTTTTATGCCCCTGACTCGACCCAAAGTTTGGGGTACATAGTATTTGCTTCATATGTACGTATTGACTGTGGATTCTGGAGCATATTTCAGCCACAGTTTAGGTATATAAAGGGAAGGCAGTGCGTCATATCCCAAAATAGAGTCACTTTGACCTTAATTTGACTTCTGTCAATAAGAACATAAATAACAGTTTTCGGAGCATATTTCAGCCACTGTTTCATTAATGGACAGCAAATTTTTGTATGTGAGTGTACATTATGGATAGGCAGTGTACGTGTCACATTTTAAATACAACCTTCGACCATTGACCTTGACCTGAAGTACTAAAATTATGGTTTCTGGAACAAATCTCCGCCACTGTTTCATTAATGGACATCAAACTTTGTATATAGATGCATCATATGAAAGTATGATGCTGCATCCTAAAATGAGATCAGTTTGACCTTAATTTCACTTTTGACCTTGAACTCAATTACTAAAATAATGTTTTCCGGAGCTTGTCTTGACTGCTGAATGATACATCGTGGGAAGGCAGTGTGTAATACCCTAAATTGATCAATGATCATGAGGTCACCATGACCTTTGACTTTTGATTAAAGTATGAAATACAATGTAGTACAGGTATCCACAGGGGGCATGGGGCCATTGACCCCTCATCACTGATATTGACCTCTCCATGTTCCAATTTTCTTTTAATCTGAATTTTGATATTGACTAAAAATTGCTGAAATGGCCCACTTCTCTCAAATTCCAGGATTTTCCCTGGAATGGGCTTCCAACTTTGTAAGTATGTCGGTAGGGGGTGTATCCATGATGCCCATGCTGTGGGTTATATCTAGTTAGTTACCATATAATCTATCACAATATGTTTTCGATTCATTTTCCCAAAATTGCGAGACATTCAGAACTCAGTTGTTCTACATATACATTTCATATACATATATATGTGTGTTATAAGTGTGAGTAAGCTCGGTTCACAACATTTATTTGTTTTGAAAGACAAAATTAACAACCAACATGGCCCATGGCCACTTCACTGCAGAATAAGCTTCTTTAATTGATATTATGATACAGAACAAAGTTCATCTCTTCAAAAGTCAGTAATAAAACCATGATGTCCAACATGCTTGTTACATGCCTTCGTGGAACCAGTACGATTTTCAGCCTATAAGCTAGTTTTCTCTTCTCTGTTTTTGCTTTCATTAGACTCAGCAGTTTTAAAGACACTTTGAGTAAAATTTCCCTAAAATTCAGGTTTTATTTTCCAAAGGAAGTAGTTAACATGTCCATCCACTTGTCCGCTGGATCCATTCATTGTTCAGATTGCAAGGTAATTGTTGGCCTAGCAGAATATGAGTTTAGACAGATTTTCAGTGTCTACCAGCCCAGGGCTCATGTCTGGTAAAAAATCTCTTCCTTATAATACGTTTACTGTAATTTAATGTTAAGTGTTCTGAGAGAAAATGTGACGAAAATCATTTCGTACATAATCTTCCCCCAAGAAATATCCAAATCTCTCCCTCTGACCCGTTTGAAGGTTGGCAGGCCTGCAATAGATTGCTTGAGCCTGTGACTCTGGTGACATAAATACTGGTGATCGGGTGGCACAGTGGATAGCGCATTGGCCTTCACCCATGGGGCAGCCAGGGTTTGGTTCCCTGATCGAACCACATGGGTTAACATTTTCTCTGGGTACTCCAGTTTCCTCCCACATTTAGATCCTAGGCGCTGACATCCGGGCCAACAAGAGTGATTAATATATGTTGAAATAACTTTTTTCATAATTGTTGTAAAATAATAATGTTCATATTATGTACTACAGACGTTTCACTCTCAGTACAGAATGACTACAAGATTGTTGATGTTGGAAAAGAAAATTATCCAGTACATGCATATTTTTAAGATGAAACGTGTAAATCTTTTGACACTAATTTGTATAACTATACCAATACTGTTTTAGGCTTTCATGAAGTTCTACCATTTTTAGTAGAAACTTTTTCATCAATTGACGTTCAGCATAATTTTATTTTGATCAATAGTAAAATCAGCGTTAATGAAGACCATTCTGGGTAAAAAAAAAAATCTGCAAATTGTGAAAAGAAGAAAAACTAGATTTCATTTGAAGCAGGCTCTTTTTTTTTTGTGGGATGAAAAGAAGACAAACTAGATTTAGATTCCCAAACTTCAGTCCTGTTTTATATAAACATTATGGAACAGGTGCTGCAGTGACCCCATTTTGGTGTGTGACACACCAAGGCGTACATTTTGGTGTGTGACACACCATGGCGTACATTTTGGTATGTGACACACCAAGGCGTACATTTTGGTATGTGTCACACCAAGGCGTACATTTTGGTGTGTGACACACCATGGCGTTCATTTTGGTGTGTGACACACCATGGTGTACATTTTGGTATGTGACACACCATGGCGTACATTTTGGTATGTGACACACCATGGGGTACATTTTGGTATGTGACACACCATGGCGTACAAGATATATAGCCCTGAAACCTGAATTTCGTCACTTGAGGTCAAAGTAAAAGATCAAAGAGACTACAATATTGCCATTTTTGTACATGACACTTTCTCATGACAGACCTACATCCTGAGAGTGATGTGCATATATGAAACAGTAGCCAAGACAGATATGCTCTTGAAACCTATGCTTCTGAATCCGATATCAAAAGTCAAAGGAGATTGCAACAACTTTATTTTGGGACGAGACAAGTAGTATTCTTATCATGTATTTGCATACCAAGTCTCATGTCCATACATGATACGGTGCTTGAGATATGCTCCAGAAAGCCATAAGTTGCTACTAAGATCAAAGGTCAAAAACAATTATGATGATGTTGTTTCCATTCTCACAAAAGTTGTCATAACATGTTTCTAAGACTGGATAGATGCATGCATGAACAAGGTAAATACCATATGTCACAGACTTCTTTTGAAGTGGGGTATTAAAAATATAGGAAAACAAAGGGAAACACTTCACACAGTAAAGGACATGTTGTACCTACTTTTGAACGCCAGGTCGTACATAGACAAAGCCATGCGGTCTCCATCTAATACTTCTCCTAACGTCAAACTCTTGTGCTCGATCTGGACAAACAAAAAAATATCAATCATATACTGAATATAATGTAATACACCATCGCTAACCTTTGTCCATTGTTAAGAATGACACTGAAAATTCAATAAATTTACAACGTTTATTTTAGTTTTGATTAGATATGTTTTGCAATATGACAAATTTGTTAGATAGGATGCATGCATATGTACACTATGAGCTTAAATTGAATTATATTACCTTCGGCTCAAGAATCAAGACCAGTAATATCAGTCCATGTTACTTGCATAAAATCTACATAATTTATAATACAAATGTACATTATAATTACATATATATAAATTGGTATAATAATTCTTACAGGAAGAACATAACAAATTTATTTAGGTTCGGAATAATTTGTTTTATATTTAAACATCATATATTCTGTTTTTTAACAATACTGTATAGTGGGAAATTTTCGCTGCAGACTAACTTTCGCCTTTTTCGCCCTCCCTAATGAGGGAGAATTTATCATGATAGCGAAAAATCAGTAAGCAACATACAATATATTTTTAAATATTACATGTGAACGGCAAAATGGGAAAAGGGCGAATATTTGGCTTGGTGAAAGTTTACCATTATACAGCATATTGTTACCAATAAGTAAACAATAGTATTTTGTTCCTGTTGACTTTTACCTTTTTTGGTCGGCATACTGGGAGTTGATAGTAATGATATGTCTCGTGTGGGTTAAAGTATGGTCCCACCTTGTTTACATACATCAGCACCTGTAAGGAGAAAACATCAATAAACAAATAATTTTGGAATATTTACATTGTTTAAACAAGAGGCTCACAGACCAAGATATAAGTAGGTCAAGGGTTGCTGTGTGGACAGTGGAAGGGTAGCTAGGTGTATCTGTGAGGAAGGTCAAAGGTACATGTAGGTCAAGGGTTGCTGTGTGGACAGCGGAAGGGTAGCTAGCTAGGTGTATCTGTGAGGAAGGTCAAAGGTACATGTAGGTCAAGGGTTGCTGTGTTGGAAGAGAAATGGTATACGTAGAAGGTAGGAGTAGTTGTGAAAAAGGTCAAAGGTACATGTAGGTCAAGGGTTGCTGTGTGGACATTGGAAGGGTAGCTAGGTGTATCTGTGAGGAAGGTCAAAGGTACATGTAGGTCAAGGGTTGCTGTGTGGACAGTGGAAGGCTAGCTAGCTAGGTGTATCTGTGAGGAAGCTTAAGGTCAAAAGTACATGTAGGTCAAGGGTTGCTGTGTTGGAGGAGAAATGGTATACGTAGAAGGTAGGAGTAGTTGTGAGGAAGGTCAAAGGTACATGTAGGTCGAGGGTTGCTGTGTGGACAGTGGAAGGGTAGGAGTAGCTGTGTGGAAGGTCAAAGGGTAGGATTATCTGTGTGGGAGGTCAAAGGTACATGTAGGTCAAGGGTTACTGTGTGGACATTGGAAGGGTATGAGTAGATGTGTGGGAGGTCAAAGGTACATGTATGTCAAGGGTTTCTGTGTTGAAATTACTAGGTATTCATATATAGCTACATATAGGAAGGGTGTTACTGGCTTTGTGGAGGGGAAAAGCTACACAGTGGCTGTTTGGAAGGGCAGTTGGAAAGTGTGGAAAAACGCCACATTGGTATGATTTTTCAAACTTGTTCTTGCCTCCATGAGAAATCTCGAAATAATATAGGTTTATAAGGCTTCAGGTTGAAAAGAGCATGCATACCTACAGTATATAGTATGAACAGACCAGCTTTCAATTGCAAGCCGTTTTGTATCCCAGAGGGATATTAAACAGTCTACCTGTTACAAGCCGTACAGGTATCATTGTATAATGTTATATCAGTTTATCACCTGTAGCTTTCAATTACTACACCACATGCAATCTGAACACACGTTTAATGCCTGAGGCTAAATATCATGGACACTTTGGGCCACATCAGTATAAACTAGTGTTATACTTTGTACCTTCTATGCCAGAATTGGTGCCAGGATGAAGGCATAGTGTACAACCTACCAAACATTATTTTTATTACATTTGTACTCTGTTCACTGTTCTTCAGTAATTCAATAATATATCGCCTTCAATTCAAATCCGAAAGATTTCAAAAGTGCTATTTCCTATGTGAGAATTCTCCATCATCTATACCTTATATATACAAGTACATGGTCATAACTGTGACTTCAAAATGACAATAATTAGATGATAGATGATATGTCACATTTTGGTAGCCAGGCACCAAATAAACTCTAAAGACTATAATTAATAGTGATAACATTACTACTGAGGAAAACTAGATTAAGCTAAAAGCATGGGCTTAACGGATACATGACTACAAAGTTTGAAGCCCATTTAAAAACAGTGACTAAGATATGCTGCGAAACCTGTATTCCAATGTATTTTAGGACTTGTGGTCAATATCAAAGGTCAAATTGAGGTACCAGTGACCTTATTTTAGGATATGATATATGCATACCGCCCTCCCTTGATGTACCTTGGTAGAAAATTGTGTGCCCATTCATGAAACAATTAACAGCTATGATATGCATCTGAAACCATTATTTTAGCAATTAACTATATGGCCAAGGTCTTTGGTCAAGGTGAGACCACTATGACCTTGCGTTAGGATACAACACCATCTTCCCATGGTGTACGTATGTACAAAGTCTGGTGACAATTTGTGAAACAGTGGCGGAGACATGCTCTGGAAACCATGGTCAGCACAATATAAAAATATCATGAAAATGAGTAAAGAAAACAGATTCATTTAACCTTGAAGTAACATTTGAATTCTGTAACCAACAAACGTGTAAGGCATCACAGACAATTGCAATGTACAAGATAATATGGTACTGATACTCCCTGAATCACGACGAACTTGGAAAATATTTGTGCCAATACAAGAAAACTTGTGGACAGGTAATTTTTGCTTAGTTTTTTGTTTGGGGTTTTACGTCACAACAGCTTATGTCATATGAAGGCGATGTTCACAGATGATGGGGCTACACAAAGATAATTTTAAAGTGTTACTTCACTGGAATGTCCTAACCTGGACACAGCAGCATGACACTTCACCTAGAACAACAGGCTTTATCATGATCACCATACATTTAAGCTGAATATCTAACGAAGGGCAATAAGTGCCAATTTTAATGACTGGTTTGTCTTGGTCAGAGAAAAATACCCAAATTGTTTCTTGCTTGGGTAATTAAATTATCGATGCCAATGTCAGGGGATCATAGAAATGACAGGGTCTAACAGAGTCAGACATTCTTCAGGTATTGGTGCACAATTTTGTTTTGGTTGGTGGGGAAGTGGAAGGAAGGATTAATTTGTAAAAAATTATCAGATTATACTGGTAGAAGAATGTCCGCTATATACCATAGATTTTACAGTTTTTGTCTGTCAGGGTAAGCTTTATTAAATTTAGAAATGTGACAAAATATACTATGCTTGAGTGATCATTTTTGCTACTTAATCAGCAAACATAAGTTTTGAAATTTGGGTCAACCAGAAACCAATTCCAAAGACCACTATAAATGTGTTAACGCAAAAATCGAAAAACGCTCCAGTAGGTATTATTCCCTTATTTAAAATATGACTACGAGTGCTTACATGCGCTAAATATCCTGAATGCTCTGTACCATACAACTCAAGACTACAGGTGCATATTCAACGTAATGTTGACAGACAATTTTCTTGAAAATGCTAAGATTCCTTACAACATGTACTGGAGCACCGGCAAATCAGACTATATAACTAGATTTGGCTATATTATCAAGTATAACTATACCTATATAGGGCAAATGTTAACAAACACGCCAGTACTTTTTGTAATTATCTCATGCACATCCATTGAAGTGTTGACCAAACAGGTGAGTCAGTGAATTAGAAGATTTTTATCTTAAAACTCAATTTCCAGTGACTTTGTTGAATGTCACCGTTGCAATTCTTTGTACTTGCATCCTTTTATCCTCACCATCTGATGGTCAGACAGGAATAGTAGCGATTTTTGTACCAAAACACGAAATATTTCACTTCCTCTCGACACATGAACTTCTTTCAATGCATGTTAATTACCGTTCTCTTCCAAAAGCACATGTCACTCTGGGGCCGAATCTGCATCGTAGGGATGCTTATCTTCGGTAGCTAGAAGTAGATGCCATGTTGAATAGACACCCTATAGTTTGTTACTAATAAGTGATGCATGTTGACAGGAAAAAAATCCAACAATGGAATTTAAACAATTGAATGAAAATTGAGTTTTTAGATGGAAATCTTTAATTTCACCGCCTCACATGTGTGGTCAACACTTAAATTGATGTTCACAGGATAATTACGACTAGTACTGGCGTGTTTGTTTACATTCGCCCTATTTACTATTAATGATAGTCGACTTGACTAAATAGCCAAATCTATCAACACACGCAGATTTGCCGGTGCTCCAGTACCTGTACAAGATAATTTGAGATGTTGAATAAATAAAATAGTGTATATAGCAGATTAAAAGGTTCTCCTTTAGTCGGCGAATGATATACATTGCTGTGCAGTGAGCACATGACATGTTGAATATTACTTCAGAAACTGTGCTGTATAAACTAGTTCCTTACATGTTTATGATGTTACACACCAGAAGCAGAAACGTGTATGTCAGCAAATGAAATCGGCATCGTTTCAAATAAATTAACGATTATTTAACATTCACTTATTTATCGAAAATGTGAGTTTTAAACTAACAAATAAAAATTCAAGACATTTTTTGACTGATTTCTGACGAAGAAGACGGTAACTGAAGACATCAGTCATATTCTTGACCTGTCAAAAAATGACAATATGCACCCCCATTTCGCAAGGCATATTCGAAAAATGTTCACTACAAACATACTACAGTACAAAAGGTACAGTCCATTGACCAGAACTTAGAACTCATATAAAAACTTTGCATGCATGCTGAAATATATACCTTTTCTCCTTCCTTATAGTTAGTAGCATCCGTAAAAGACACGAATGCCAACGCAACAACCAAGACTATGGCCGCCATGTTTGTTTGATGTACGTTAACGTTACATCGTGGTTATTTAAATTATTCGTACTTTTAAACATATTTGCAGCGTATTGATTATAATTAATAATTAAAAATATTTTATGTGTCAAATATCATAAAATAAACGACAATTACATTTTTCCACTAAAATATTTTTGACTATTTTACTGTATCATATTGACGCTTTTAAACTGGAATACACACGTTGCACTATCCTCTACCCATTGAAACATTGCATCGACTAAGATTGCAATTTGATAATCTGTGTGTATTTCTTTTCCGGCTTAGTGAAAAGGCTATATTCATACGCAATAAAACACAATAACAAACTAACAGAATACTCATTTGGGTCTAAATATTTTGCAATTTTGTTAAATTAAGATAATAAAATCAACACGCAAATAATTTGCGCATGTCATTTTAGTTATCTGATTTATTAGAGCGCGCACCTTGCAATATAGTTCCGCGCATGTGTATATATTTACATTTGCAGTGCGGTTCACTAATCCTCTTAGGGATCTGTCGTTTCTTTATCTGGGCAGGGTAGGGACTTGGTGTTTAAAGCTATGGTCGACAAGCAGTGTCGCGGTCTGACGAACAATCGAGTGTTTTCAACGTATCTACACCGCGATACAACTTCAGGTCGCCGGTATAAGCAGCCGATTTTGATTAATCAAAACTTTGCAGACACCCATGTTTCCCCGTGCTAATCTATCGCCTCCTTGACTAACCATATTGCACTTCAGCTGCAATATAGTGTATGCCGACTTGGAGTAACATCCAGTCAACTTTCTCAGACAAGATGGATTTTCATGCAGCAATGGAAACTTTTGCTGAAGCATGGGTAGCTGCCAATACCCCTACTGCTGTTAACTCTACTGAGCCCCAACCACAGGTAACATCTTTTGTTTACTTCATAGAGTGATGATCTTCAAGATTTCTTCTAAGATTAATTATTGACGTTTTACTCAGTGTTCCTTGTTTTCTTCCAGTGATTTTTTTTTTCTTAGTAATAAGTCCAAAAATATCCGATGTCACTTGTTTAACATTAGTGAACAGTTACATTTTCATAGACATTGACTGGAAATTTAAGAAACTGTTGCATTCTCATTTCAATTTAATTGTGATCCTTCTTGGCCATTGACACCCTTTTTCATTAATGTCAAATTCAATAATAAATTTTTGTTTGTTTTTTAAACAATGCATTAAGAGTTTTTAAAGTAGTACAACTCAACTTTCTTTAAAAACACTCATATCCCTTATCCTTTTATAAGTTCTTTTTATGTAAAGTACGGGGTTAAATATTTGCAATTCACAATAGCAATCTTTTAACAAATTCAACTGTATTATATCTGTTATATATCCAGGCAATAAAATGAAACATAATGCGTTAATAAAAATAATCTTACAGCAATGCTATATGTGATACTTTAATAAGTATATGTTTGCCATAGAACACCATGGTGTAAAAATGCATATTTAGAATACTAGTCTACAAACATCATTTCAAAATTATATTTGATCAGATATTGAAAAATTTCACTAGCTAGTGAAACCTGTCTTAGATCTCCTAGCTGAAGTCTTGGGTTTATGGTATTGTACACGCCAACACTCGGTCATACAAATTGTATATATATCAAAAATAAGAAATGAGTAAAATCAATCAATTTTACAGTTGACAAGTGTGTGAATGTTAGAATAGAAAGAGATAAAATTTCAGCTATTTCTCAATAATTCAATATTTGATCAGTATCCAGAAAAAAAACACCTAAAAAATTTCACTTCAAATCCTTCCCATCCACTTTTGTCTTCTAAGCATGCTTCCTTCAACTTATTAGTCGGCAAGTAATATTACCAATGCTTTAAGGATTATTCAATGATTTCTTGAGAGATATTTTGGTTTAATTTTAGTTTCCATTTTATAATTATTGAATCAAATGTAAAATGAATTTTATTGTTATCTGAAATATTACTTTCATGGACCTGATAGGAACTGAAGCTGCCAGCTGTATTAATAGCTATTTAAATTTATAACTGTTAATTTTCATTTTTTAGATATTCAAAATTAATGTCCTCAGACATCTAGCTAAAAGTGACCTATAGATGTTTGTCTATAGACCTCGTACTGTATATTTTTTGTCTTCAAATTCTTCAAAAAAAGTTCCCAAAGAAATGTTGCTCAGGAAACCATATTTTCAATTTGAGCATTATGCATCAGAACACTTCCCACCTAACTTGCTAGACAACATATTTTCAAATGTTTCACTTTTTCTGTTAAAATGTTTGATATCAATACAGGTACCGTTGATTCTTGATTCAGACTCATTAAGAATGTTCATGATGAAATTTGGATTTTGTTTGAGGGAAACTTATACATAAAAGCTGATTGTTAATTAGCGGTAGGTCGATAACACCAGGCTGAGATCAACGTTGGCAGTCTATAATAATAGCATTGACTTTTTTACATCATTTGGTAATCAACATATAGAAAATGGACAGTGGGGTCTTGATCAAATAATTCCTTATTTCCTGCACTGTTACAGATTATTCAGCCAAATAGACTGCCGACTTTTAACCTGTAGAGCTGATTAACTTATTAACTGTTCCTAATACACAGCCTGTTCCCTTTAATACATGTACAATAGCTAATAGCATATGTACACACTTTCTTAGCCAGGATTAGACTACATTAACTTATTAACATGTTAATAATGCTAAAAAGTTAAAGTTTAATCCAATTATGAACCATTTACGTGTAGAGGTAATTGTTGATTTTGGTTATTTAAAGTAGCTTATCCCATTGACAGGTTACTTAACATTTTAACATTATATGTTATTTCTTTCGAATACAAAAGAACAATACATCTTAAATATAAACAAAGATTGCGTTGTCCAAAGCTACTTTTAAGTTATAATTTTATCAATTTTTAAAAAGATAACCAAACAATTAAATATATTTCAAATGTTCCAAATATGTATTATTTTGTTTAAACTATTTAAACCGCCCCCACAAATAATGAAGTGTTTAAAAAAATAATGGTGTGTTTCCTTCGATACCTATATAAAAGCAATCTTCTAACAAAAGTCCTGGAGAAAGTTAATGTACATATAACTGTTGTAAATTCATTATACATACTAATGATGCTGCCTTTATTTACAAAACCGTTCGGTGTATGTTTTGTTACTTCTATATGTCCTGATTGTAAATACGACAGCTCGTGTTATAATGCTAGCAGATGATAAAGACGTTAGAAATGTACACATTTTTGTGAGCGCCTGGTTAAGTAGCGTTTATTGTACATGTGTGGCACATAAAAAGACATGACAGAGTGACATCGCCATAAGTATTAATGGCTAGTCAATACAGCAAGAAAGCGAGGTGTATATGTGGTTTTGTTAACCTTGACTAATTATATTACTCATCAATACAGTGTACTTGTGTATTGACAGGTGAACACCAATCAATGGTTTAGAGCTTAACTAAACAGTTGGATTGTACCTTGTAAACTCAGGTTACTTTATTAGTATCATTTATTTAGATGTGTAGTTAAAAATAGAGACCTGATAAGAAGTATGTTTAAACTACGTATTTAGTTTTGTATTAGATAACTGTTATTTTGCTTTAATATGGTGATAATAATAATTGGCTGATGTTGCTTTAAACATATAAAGATTGATTACTGAGTTAAAATGTTTTGACTGACGTGATGATTTAGTATTGATTGATCCACAACTTAGGTTACTGGGTTGTAATGATCGCCAATGTAGGTTACTGGGTTGTAATATTTTGACTGACGTGATGATGATCCACAATGTAGGTTACTGGGTTGTAATATTTTGACTGATGTTGTACTGATCCACAATGTAGGTTACTGGGTTGTAATAATCCACAATGTAGGTTACTGGGTTGTAATGATCCACAATGTAGGTTACTGGATTGTAATATTTTGACTGAGGTTATGATGATCCACAATGTAGGTTACTGGGTTGTAATATTTTGACTGATGTTGCATGCAGTGATCCACAATGTAGGTTACTGGGTTGTAATATTTTGACAGATGTTGCAGTGATCCACAATGTAGGTTACTGGGTTGTAATATTTTGACAGATGTTGCAGTGATCCTCAATGTAGGTTACTGGGTTGTAATATTTTGACAGATGTTGCAGTGATCCTCAATGTAGGTTACTGGGTTGTAATATTTTGACTGATGTTGCAGTGATCTACAATGTAGGTTACTGGGTTGTAATATTTTGACTGATGTTGCAGTGATCTACAATGTAGGTTACTGGGTTGTAATATTTTGATTGATGTTGTAGTGATCCACAATGTTGCATGCAGTGATCCACAATGTAGGTTACTGGGCTGTAATATTTTGACAGATGTTGCAGTGATCCACAATGTAGGTTACTGGGTTGCAATATTTTGACTGATGTTGTAGTGATCCACCATGTAGGTTACTGGGTTGTAATATTTTGACTGATGTTGTAGCGATCCACAATGTAGGTTACTGGGTTGTAATAATCCACAATGTAGGTTACTGGGTTGTAATGATCCACAATGTAGGTTACTGGATTGTAATATTTTGACTGAGGTTATGATGATCCCCAATGTAGGTTACTGGGTTGTAATATTTTGATTGATGTTGTAGTGATCCACAATGTTGCATGCAGTGATCCACAATGTAGGTTACTGGGTTGCAATATTTTGACTGATGTTGTAGTGATCCACCATGTAGGTTACTGGGTTGTAATATTTTGACTGATGTTGCAGTGATCTACAATGTAGGTTACTGGGTTGTAATATTTTGATTAATGTTGTAGTGATCCACAATGTAGGTTACTGGGTTATAATATTTTGACTGATGTTGTAGTGATCCACCATGTAGGTTACTGGGTTGTAATATTTTGACTGATGTTGTAGTGACCCACAATGTAGGTTACTGGGTTGTAATATTTTGACTGATGTTGCATGGAGTGATCCACAATGTAGGTTACTGGGTTGTAATAGTTTGACTGATGTTGTAGTGATCCACAATGTAGGATACTGGGTTGTAATATTTTGACTGATGTTGTAGTGATCCACCATGTAGGTTACTGGGTTGTAATATTTTGACTGATGTTGCATGGAGTGATCCACAATGTAGGTTACTGGGTTGTAATGTTTTGACTGATGTTGTAGTGATCCACAATGTAGGATACTGGGTTGTAATATTTTGACTGATGTTGTAGTGACCCACAATGTAGGTTACTGGGTTGTAATATTTTGATTGATGTTGTAGTGATCCACAATGTTGCATGCAGTGATCCACAATGTAGGTTACTGGGCTGTAATATTTTGACTGATGTTGTAGTGATCCACCATGTAGGTTACTGGGTTGTAATATTTTGACTGATGTTGCAGTGATCTACAATGTAGGTTACTGGGTTGTAATATTTTGATTGATGTTGTAGTGATCCACAATGTTGCATGCAGTGATCCACAATGTAGGTTACTGGTTTGTAATATTTTGACAGATGTTGCAGTGATCCCCAATGTAGGTTACTGGGTTGTAATATTTTGACTGATGTTGCAGTGATCTACAATGTAGGTTACTGGGTTGTAATATTTTGACTGATGTTGTAGTAATCCAATATTGATTACTGGGTTGTAACATAATGTTGACATAGATTGGGATGGTCTACAATATTGGTTATTGGGTGGTAGTGTTTGGACTGATGTTGTGGTGATCCATAGAATGGTTTAAATCTATTATGAAATGGAAACCCATGACAGTAAGATCGTTTTTGTGTACAAAATGTTATAAAGATTATAAAAATATCATATAAAGATAACTATCAATGTAACAGTTCATCATTAAATAGAATACTGGCGTCACTGCTGTACTCAGTTCCCCT